GCCGCCGCGCCGCCGCTGGAGCCGGGTCCCGGACCGCCTGAGCGGGCAGGGGGCGGTGGCGCGGCGCGCTGGGTCAGGCTGAACGTGGGCGGCACCTACTTCGTGACCACCAGGCAGACCCTAGGCCGGGAGCCCAAGTCTTTCCTCTGCCGCCTTTGCTGCCAGGAGGACCCGGAGCTGGACTCGGACAAGGTGCGCCCCGCCCTCGGGCGCGACCGCGGCTTTCGGACCCCCTCGTTCTTCCTAGGCTCGTCCCCATGTTCCTGCGACACCCTCCTCACTGGCGGGCTCCTCGGGCGGGGACCCCCTCCTTCTCCGCCCCCCTCGCCAGGCTAGCCCCGGGGGCTGTTCTCCCCCATCCTCAGGCGCACCCTGGCTTTCTCCCTGACCCCGCCCTTGGTTCTCAGCGACTCCTTCCCCCCACCGTGCCCACCCATACCCACGAGAACCCATTCCACACCTCTTCTCCGTATTCCTCTCATCCTAGCCCCTCAGGTCTGCATGAGTTTTTCCCTGGCTCTTCGTCAGCCCCTTACTGCCTGTGCCAGATGCATCCAGAACTGGGTCAGGGTGAGCTAAGGCATCTTTGTAGCTTTCTCAGACTTCCTCTCGGACCCCTTTGCCAAGTTGGGTGAAAGCCTGCGTCTGATGATGGCTTCGACAGCTGCAGGAAGTGCTTCTCACGATATCACACTTCTTTCCTGTGGTCCTGTTCCCTGAGCTCCCATCTGGTAACAGTCACCGTTTTAGGTCCATGTTTGAGATCAGATACATTACTTGGAAAGAGGTTACCATTTGCCAGTGCAACCCTGAGCTCACTGGTTAAGACGGAGGGAAAATGATAACCGAAGAATGCTGTTGGGCAAGATGCATGGCTGCTAACCAAAGGGTTGAGAGGTGACAAAAGCTTAACCTATTTCCCGTTTGACCTGTTTGAATTTTTTTTCACTTTACACGTTCATATTTTAGTTCCTAGCTTATAGGCATTGGCCATTGCTTACACCACCTTATATCCCATATAGCACTGAGCCGGTTACCTTGCAGCAGAGTTGGGATGGGGTGAACATTGGTTGATTTCATTTATTCATCTTCTTCTGTAATAAACCTCAGATTGATGGAAACTTGTCCTACCCTAACTTTAAAGAGTTTCCAAAATCCTTGCTTATAAACGAATTATTTTTATCTACCCTAAATCTTCCTTGTTGCAGTAGAAGCCAGTTTATTCTTGTTTCTTTTACTGTAAAGATGAGTAGGATTAAAGCTGCTCAGAGCCAAATCCTGGCAGTGCCAAGCTTCCTCTGGGCACAGAGCTGGGGTATGTGAGTTACAGCTGGCAGGCAGACTCCCACTGATGTTGGCCTTGAGCTCCAGAGTGTTGCCAACTAAACAGAGGTTTTCTTAGAATTGGGAATGTGATTCAGGGGCAATAGAGAAGTGAGAATGTCTGTCTCAAGCAAAGATTTAAATCATGCAACTGTGGCATTGTCTTCCTCCCTTTCTTTATAACAAGGATCCCACAGAAGAATGTTGGTAATTGTGTCCAATAAAGATTTTAGAAGTTCAAGTAGATGTCTGGATGATAGGACTGTATATTTGTAACACCTTACCTGAAATGATCTTAAAAGTGCAAGATACATATAGCTAGCCTTCTTGCCAATAGTTTGTGATAAGCAAATATCTAGCAAAACTTGAGCTCTCACTAATGAATTGTGACAGAGAGGTTGAAACCCTGCTCTGACGTAGTCTTAAAGCTCCATAATGATACCCTTGTGTTTGGTTGGCAGGACGAGACAGGGGCCTATCTGATTGACAGGGACCCCACCTACTTTGGTCCTATCCTAAACTACCTCCGCCATGGGAAACTCATCATTACGAAGGAGTTAGCAGAAGAAGGTAAGAACAGTGTTTGCGCTGGTCATTTTCAAAATTGAGGCTGAGGGCCGGCCCCGTGCCTTAGCAGTTAAGTGCGCGCACTCCACTACTGGCAGCCCAGGTTCGGATACCGGGCGCGCGCTCATGCACCGCTTCTCCGGCCACGCTGAGGCTGCGTCCCACGTGCAGCAACTGGAAGGATGTGCAACTATGACATACGGCTGTCTACTGGGGCTTTGGGGGAAAGAGAGGAGGATTGGCAGGAGATGTTAGCTCAGAGCCGGTCTTCCTCAGCAAAAAGAGGAGGATTAGCATGGATGTTAGCTCAGGGCTGATCTTCCTCACAAAAAAACAATAACAACAACAAAAAATTGAGGCCGAATCTTTAAAGTTGTTTCACAGATTTGAATTTTGTTTGAGATTTTCATCAAGCTTTTGTGCAGGTGTAATAAAGGTTAATGGAAGTGAGCAGAGAACCTCCTTCAGGTACCTAGTCTTGTCTGAGTGAGTCTTGCTTAAGGGAGCCCCATTGGGTTCTGTTCAGCCTCCTTAATGAGAAGAAAAATAGGGAGCTCGGCTTTACAGATAGCTTCAGGAGTGTTTTTTGAGCCTGCAAAATTGTCAGGATTCCTTTTTACGTTTACTTCTGTGGTAGCAGTCAATGTCCGTATCCTGAAGCAAAACATCTCTGACACTTAGTTATTTATATTTCCAATTTTAGTTTGATCTTGCAGCTGTAAAAAAATAAAGGCTTGGCCTCATTTCTTTTAAGACTGGTCTCATGCTTCCTTGTAAATTTTTGCAGCTGACCTAATTCATTCTCCAGTCCATTGTCAAGTGCATCATCAGTTGCCTCATCTTTTTGGTTTGTAGGGCATTTGGGCTGTAAGTGGGTCTTGACAGCTTTCTAAAAGGCTTGGCTTGGTCTCACTGAAAGGATTCAGCTGAAGATTGGGACCTGTCCCTAAATCCAGGGCACCCTGATCTGGGAGCTTTAGCTCTGAGTAAGAAAGCCGTAATGGCTGCGCTGGTTATGAAGTGACTACAGAACACCTCTGTTTCAACCAGTAAAAAGAGAACTCGCTCTCTCTTTTTTTTAATGCCCTGTTTTTGTTTTTGTTTTTTAACATTTCAAATGCATACAAAAGTAGTGGGACTAGTACAATAAATCCCATGCACCCACCATCCAGCTTCAACAATTACCAACTCATGGGTAATCTTATTTCTTGAAAAGAGGAATCATAAGCATCTTTTCTAAAGCTTTTATTTATTTTAAAAAAAATTTTTATTTTGAAATAATTTCAAACTTAGAGAAAAGGGCAAGAGTAGTACAAAGCACTCACTTTACCCAGATTCACCAGTTTTTAACATCTTTTGGTCATATTTGCATTATCATTTATCTATTCTCTCTCCTCCTCTTGCCTCTCCTCCCCCTCCCCCCCAGTTTTTATTTCTGAACTATTTGAGAACAGATTACAGACTTTATCCCTTAGTACTTCAATGTGTATTTCCCAAGAACAAGGATATTCTCTTACATAACCACAGTACACTTATCAAATTCAGGAAATTTTATATTGATAATGTGTTTATCTATAGCTTATTTTCCAATTTTGTCAATTGTTCCAATAGTGGCCTTTATAGCAAACATTTTCCTAATACAGGATCACACATCCCATTTAGTTGTCTTGTCTAAGGCCTTTGATTTTGTTTAGCATGGGATTCTGTCAATTACTGCCTTTCATATTGTTCCGAAAATAAGCATCCTATTAAATTTGGTCCACATAAATTTACACACACCCACCTTCCCTTGGTCATTTTTAGGACAAACTGGGTAAAAATTGTAAGCTCAAGAGTTGTCCGTTGGAATAGTTCCAGGAACTAAGTGACATATGGGAAAGATGTCACTCCCTGCAGCTAATGGGCAGGTGCAGGGAGAGTCGGGGAAGGTGCCAGGTGAGAAACCGTAGGGGGGAAATGGAGTGAACAGAGCAGACCCTTGTGCCTGACTCACTTTCCTTGGGGAAAAGGTAATGAGTACATGCTAAAGAGCAAAGAAACGTTTTCCAGGCTGAAGAAGAGAGACTAGACTTGCATTTGAAAAATACAGTTCTTAGCAAGCATGTCAACTCCAGCCCCTTCTTGCTGTTTTCTGAGGATCACACACATCTCTAACTACAGATTGGTCCTTTTTCTAGGTGTGCTGGAAGAAGCGGAGTTTTACAACATTGCGTCTCTTGTGCGCCTGGTTAAGGAAAGGATACGGGACAATGAGAACAGAACTTCACAAGTAATGGGTTTTGAACTCTTAAGGGGAAAATATCTCAAGTGGCTCTCTTTTTCCATGAGTCTGGGTGTGATTTGAAAAGGATGATGTGCTGCTTGGTGAGAGCCCTGCCTCTCTCCTTAGAGCTGAAGGTCTGTGTGGAACACTGTCCATCTGCCAAGCAGACAGCACATACTCCTCCAGACTTGTTCAGAACAAGGAAATAGAGAAGAAAAAATAACAAAGGAAACAAAACAGCCCCATGTCCCTTTAGAAGAATGGGGTGGCTGTGGCTGCTCACCATATGGCAGTGGGAGGAGCCCACAGCACTTTAAGACAGAGTATCTGTCAGACAGAGTGTCTGTCTCCCTCCACGTCAAGACCAAATGAGGTCTTGCTTCCACCCGTTGGCCGGTCTTTCATAGGACCAGCCTTTACCGTGTGACCACAGCACATCTAGCTCCTGACAGCCACTTGAAACCCATCGCATGGCGTAGACCTTAGAAGCTGCTTGTGAATCATGCTTCTGAGAAAAATAATATCAAGCTTCTCTTTTTATTATTAAGTCTGGATTTTTATATTAACTCGGTAGATATAGTAACAAATGAAACAATTTGCCACCTACTTGGAGAAGGGAAGATGGTAGGGCGTACTTAGCTTATTTCATGTCACATCACCCATCATGTCTTAAGTGGCCACAATAGCTTCTCTTAGGCCCTTGGAATTCTGTGACTAATAAGAGAAGGTCCGTGCCCTCAAGAAGCTTGAAGTCTAGCAGAAAGACACTCCCTTTCATGTATTTAGGCTCTGTTTTACGAAAGTACAACTGCAGTAACAGAGGGCAGAGTCGGACTCCACCATGACCATCTGTCTTGTAGCATGACTTGCATCTTATCCCATCAGAGACTTGTGGTGGATGCTTTCTTGAGATCTTATCTATTGCAACATAGCATTTTCATGTGATTAAGAAGAAGGTGATGTTTCTTTTCAAAAGTAAAAAATAGTTCCTTGCTCTTCCTGTGTTGGACTTCATATATCAAAGTTATCTGGTTCTAAGTGGAATTATCTGGATGAATAACTACACCTATGATGAAAAATGAACTCTCTTATCCATTTTATCTGCAGCACTTTGCGAAGGTGGAAAGAAGGGCTTGTTCTCTTCCCTCTGGCCAGTAGTTGCAAGTTTCCTTTTTGATATTCAAAGATGAATTTATAGTTGGCTTACAGATTACCGTTTGAAATATGATCTATTGTCACCAGTCTTTTTGCCATCTCATATTTACGCCATCTTTATTGTAGAAGTTTAATAGCTTAGACATTCTGAAAACCTAGCTTTATCCTCAATTTTCCATGTTCCAAAAAAAACTTGATTGCTTAGTATAAATTTTGATGGTACCATGAATTATGTAATTTGAAACCATTCAAATCATAGTACCTGAGCATGCTCAGTTCTTTGCCATTAGCTAATTCCTTGAGAACACTGTAAGATTTCTATTTGATGACAGCAATTAAGTTAATTAGTCCTTTAGATTCTGAAGGCTTGTGGATTTATACCCAGTTGGAAGCTTTTTTATTCTAGGAATGTCAAGACCTTTTTGATGTTAATTGATCTTTCTGTCTGTCCTTGTTGTTTAGTGAAACTCTGGGCAATGGATTTGATGTTGATCAAAGATACCCTCTTTTGCATTTGTTGTACACGGCTCTAAGGTCAAGTTGGCCGTATGTGGATTTCTGTGGCTGTCCCTTCAAACAGCTTATCTCCTTTAACTTGTCTGTGTTTAAGGAGACACACGTGGCAGACATTCGGGCGAAGCCCAAGATGTGGGGGTCCTATCCCACCTTTTTTCGGTCACCTCTCATCTCTTGTAGTGGCTGCCACCATTCTACTTCTTTGCTGTCTCTGATAATATATTTTGCTAGGGATTAAACTTGGTGCATTTGAGAGTACCAGTGGTTTACTTTGGAAGAGAAAAATAATAAAGAGGCAATACAGACATCTTAAATACTTGGGGGGCCGGCCCCGTGGCTTAGCGGTTGGGTGCGCGCGCTCCGCTACTGGCGGCCCGGGTTGGGATCCGGGCGCGCAGCGACACACCGCTTGTCTGGCCATGCTGAGGCAGCGTCCCACATACAGCAGCTAGAGGGATGTGCAAGTTCAGTCATTTGCTAGAATGACTCGTAGAACTTAGGAAAGTGCTATACTTAACTATTATAGTTTATTATGAATGATAACAAAGGAACAGCCAGATGAAGAGATACATAGCGCGAGGTCCTGAAGGGTCCTGAGTGCAGGAGCGTCTATCCTCATGCGCCACTCGCCCAGCACATGGACGTGTTTGCCAACTTGGAAACTCCCTGAACCCTGGCATTTAGGGGTTTTTAAGGATGTTTCATTATGTAGAAATGATTGATTAAGTCATTGGCCATTAGTGATTGAACTCAATCTCCAGCCCCTTCCCCTCCCCCGAGGTCAGGCGGTGAGGCTGAAAGTTCCAGCCCTCTAATCACCTGTTAGGTCTTTCTGGTGACCCATCATTAGCATACAAAAGACACTTCTATCACTCAGGAGATTCCAAAGGTTTTGGGAGCTCTGTGCCAGGAGCCAGGGACAGAGACCAAATATTTATTTTTTATATACCACACTTCTTTGACAGAAGTGTTACCATATAACACTGGAACACTTTCACTTTCAGGTAGCATCAGCAGAAGGTAAAAATAGCTTTAACATTTGTACATTATGGGATTCCTATTTAATGTATTATTCCCATAATTAGGTATCACTCTGAATAAACCAAAACGTGGTCTACATTTTCAGCATGTACGTCAGATATGAATGACTTCAGAACAAAATGTGGCTTTTCTTGTCCAAAGTAATTTTACTCTATTTTCTGCTTAGGGAAATAGATGAAATCTAAGTGTATCAGCATGGTTGCTCACGTAATTCATCCCTCCAAAGTTCAGGATTATTTTTTTGATTCATGTTCTTGGACCCTTTATTTTCTTTCTTTCCTTGGATAAGCTTCTATTGAAAAACTACAGTGCTGCTTGTAAAAGGGGATGGTGGGTGGCTGCCAAGAAAAAAATTCCAAGCAAACTCCTTTTCAGTCCTTATTCTTTTGAAGAGCCTCACCGTGGCAGCCTTGAACTGTTGTGTCCTTGAAATTGTTCTTCAAAGTCTGTTTGTGGTTGTCACAGGGGCCCGTGAAGCACGTGTACAGAGTCCTGCAGTGCCAAGAAGAGGAGCTTACCCAGATGGTCTCCACTATGTCTGATGGTTGGAAATTCGAGCAGGTATGTTTTTTAAGTAGCAGCAACCCTGTAGCTCAGCCTGGGAGTCCACAGTCTTTAGACAACCACCGCCTGTAGCCAGTTAATCACCCTGAGAGTTCAGTAGGGCCAGGTGTGATCCCTTTCAGAAACATGGGAAAAGAGAGCCACTTGGTGTGGATTCTTTGCCCACTGAGTACATGTACAACATGTACAACATGTACTCAGTACATGATGAGTTGGGGAGAATTGGGAATAGTATCGTGTCTCTCGGCTTCACATGCAAAGTTTCAACTTGATTGTCCCCAGAGGGAGCCAGCCAGCTTGTTTAGGCTTAAAAATGTCTCTCTGGCTTTTTTTCCTTCAGAGGGATTCCGTTCAAAAGTACTCATTGACACATTCTAGAATAAGTACCCAAAGAAGACTAGGATTCAACAACCACCCTCCCTTTGCCTACCCCAGGGTCAGAACTTTATCGTTCTGAATATATTCAATCCACCATAAAAAGCTTGGGGGACAGGTGTGATGTGAAAGGAATCAAACATAATGAGAAGTGTGGCCTCGTCATTTCCCGTTGGTCTATTGATTTCTGTTCTTTCAGCTTTGTGCTTATGATTGAAGTATCAGAACAAAGCGACTGAGAGTCAGAATTTTACTGTTTTCTTCCTTTAGGTGGCAGAATTGTTCATCTGTTATCTTCAAAACATAGGGAGGCTGAGCATGAATAGAATGAATATATTATAATTTAAATGGATCGTGCCTATTTTTATGTAGAGTTTAAGAGGTCAGTTGAACTTCACCATAAGCTTACTTTCTAAAATAAAAGTTACTCTATGTGTTAACAGTATTATGTTATAGATCAAATACACAGTCTCTGTCTTCAGAGCCAACACTGGATTATTCCTCACACTTATCTTCCACTGCAGATTCGAGTCTGCCTGTATGTGTCAGCCTAGTTCTTGTTCAGGTGTGAGTTGCAAAATGTTGCCATAATTCCATTCCGGAAGTGTTTTCCCTGACATAAAGTCCTAAGCAAAGGATATTTTGAAAACTTTTTAAAAGTATACTCGGGGCCAGCCCCGTGGTATAGTGGTTAAGTTCGCACATTCCGCTTCAGCGGCCTGGGGTTCACTGGTTTGGATCCTGGGCATGGACCTACTCACTGCTCATCAAGCCATGCTGAGGCGGTGTCCCACATAGAAGAACTAGAAGGACCTACAAGTAGGATATACAGCTATGTACTGGGGCTTTGGGGAGAAAAAAGAAAAAGAGGAAGATTGGCAACAGATGTTAGCGCAGGGCCAATCTTCCTCAAAAAAAAAATATTCTTTGTGAAACTAGTGAATAATTTTTTATCTTCCTTTTCTCATCATATTAATGTCCTGTGGGAGGACAAAGTATGCTCCCATTGACTCTGTTATGTGGACGAGGAAGTTAAGGCACAGGAAGGCTGAGGTGTTTGTAGCTCAGTCATTCAGCAAGTCGGTCGTGGTCTCCTGACTTGAGGCCGTGCATGCTTGCCAGGACAGCATCATCCTTGGGCTCAGCTTTTCCCTCTGCGTGTGTACTTCCTATTGAGAACTAAATCCTAAATTCAGTTCTCCAAAAAGGTTAAAAGTACCAGCAGTATATGGCTTATGGTAGCTATTCAGTGATTTGCTCTTTGCTTTCCCGAGCCTTGCAAGTGCCAGCCTCCAGTCTAGGACTTCTGTTTAAAGATGAGCCAGCTCTGTAGCTCTGTGTAGTTGTTTTGGCTGAAGCAAGTGTCCATTTTCATTCACAGAAACATTCCATTTCACCTCAGTGTCTGCTAGAAGGAATGTGACTGTGTTAATCCTAGTTGCTGCCTTTAGGATTGTTTCAGTGCTTGTGTGAGGGGGACAGTGGCAGAACTCATACTTTTCCTCTTTGGGGAAGCTTCGTTGATGACACCCTGATGAATAACTGAGACCCAGTTATCCCCTGGGGTCTTGATAGTCTCAGAGAATTCTTCATCCTTTGAGAAGCAGAACTACCGAGTTCAGTCAGGAGGAGGGTTTGGTTTGTGTGGCACTTTAGTTTTTTTTTTTAATCGAGGTCATGATAGTTAATAACGTGAAATTTCAGTTGTACCTTATTACTTGTCAGTCACCATATAAATGACACTTTAGTATTTTAAGATCACTGTGTGTTCACCGTGTTCTTGTCTTATCAGCTAATCAGCATTGGATCTTCCTATAACTATGGCAATGAGGATCAGGCAGAATTCCTCTGTGTTGTCTCCAGAGAACTAAATAATTCTACCAATGGCATTGTCATAGAGCCGAGTGAAAAGGCAAAGGTAAGAAGTCGCTTCCTCAGTTTTGTCTCCGACTCTATGTGGGCTTTGCCTGAACTGGCGCTCATCGCTTCTTCCCTTTCCTTCTCAAGCCAGCTTTCATTTCCCTTTCATGTTGGGCTTTTGACTGTTGTAATTTAAATCAGGATTTATGGAGCGGTGACAGGGGTCTTTAGTTAGGAAACGTGAACTGAAATAGGACAGATTTTTCCCAGACTCTGTCAAATCAATGAAAAAGAAAAGCTTATTGCCACTAATTACTACAAAGTGAGAATTCTGAAACTTAAAATTGGAAAGTATTTTGCCTTGATCGTTGAAACTGTTTTTTATTTTTTTGCTGTCCCAAGAGAAGAGGTATTTTGTTACCTTTGTGACTTCTCCCCCAAGTTACTGGAAAATTGTATACTGTTGTCTTCTTCCTCCGCTGTGCCCCTCACACACACACACGTGCACACACACACTTCTAAATCACCGACATGTGGCAACCCTGACCCGCGTCCTTTAGCCTTTAGCACTGGAGAAGTGGTCCAGCAGCACGTAAACTCCAGGCCCGACCGTGGTCAGCAAGTCTTTACAACTACTTCAGGGGACGTTGCCTCACCTCCTGGGATAACAGGGATTGTGTGCTGCTCACCAGGGTCCAGTGGAAAGCAGCTGTGGGTCTCTTTTCCCTCAGCAGTCTGCTTAGCAACCTCAGCCTAAAGGCAGTCTGCATCTAGTCTAAACCTCAGCCCTCTCCTCCATCTTCCACTTCCAGATTCTTCAGGAGAGAGGATCTCGGATGTAAACCAGAATCCTAAACATCAAGAGAGCAACAGCAGAGCACCTCTCTGAAGTTAAATCTTGCTCCTGTACAGTAACCGAGCTACTGCAAAGCAAAGCTGAGCCTGGCCCCTCAGTGGAAAAGTGTTCTGGTCAAAACCAAAGGAACCCCCAACCCCCCGCACACACACACAGGAACCCGAAGACAGATATACCTTCTGGCTGCAGAATACCTTTTCACAAACCTCCTGTTGTTTTCTTAGCTAGTGTTATAACAAATCTTTATAGCAGCAGCTGGGCTGGGTTCCCAGTTGGAGCCCTTATGGGGATCTGGGGAAGGGGAAAAGGAAGGCCTGGCTCCTTGCACATGCCTACTTCAAGGAAGCTGGAGTAAATGGAAGAGGATTGTCCCTGAGCTGTGCCATGTTTTCACCTGAGTACGCCATGGACGCTGGCAGCCATTTGCACACTCTTTCCCCTCCTTCTATGCATCCCAGACTAATGCAGCAGATGCAAGGGGTTCTAGCTTCAGTTTATCGAATTGAATTGAGGTTTGGGATAAAGGGTAGAGTTGCCAGAGTACTCCACATTGCTGTGAACAAAGCTCTTTGAGGAAGGGGAGGATGAGCTTTCCTTGGCTGTGGGTGGAGGTTGGGAATCGTTGATCTGGATTCATGGCACTTGGTTGCTACCGGGTTCAGCTTTGCCTCATTTGTCTCCAGCAGCGTAGAGCCTCCAGATAGCTTGCTTTCTCCCCGAGAAGAGGTTTGAGGCAGACGGCATCCTGCACTGAATCAGACAGACAGACAGATGGGAGCTTTAGGTAGTTGGTGTAACTGCTTCTGCAGCCTTTTCTTACCCTTCATTAGCTCATCTTCCTCCCCTGACTTTTTAAACTGGTCCGAGGATAAAGGGACTTTGGACCCTCTGATGGCATGGGGTGGGGACGGCTGTTTCTTTGAAAGTTGCCAAATGTGTTATGTTGTAGTATCCAAAAGTGGTGTTATTTCTGTGATTGTCTCTTGAAAATGCCTTGACTGAACATGCGATATTTGTTTGTGTCTCTTCTTGGTTTCTAACCTTGGCAAACCTGCCCCGCAGCCATGTCTATGACCCCACACTATCCCCAGTAGTCTGTATGTGTTTGCTGGGCAGTCTGAGGACTCCCTGCATCTCTGATCCCACCCCTCACCATCACTTCTTTCTATGGAATGCTGTGTCATCGGGGATCAAACGCTTGTTTGACAAGGGGGAGCAAAGCCCTCCTTTGGGCTGTGACCACACAGCTTGTATCTGGACCTTTTCTCTGAGATCTTGAGTCTCGGTGAGCACTCGTCGAATGCAAAGGAGCCGGAGAATCCTTATTTTTCCCTAGATGACTTTCAGAGTGTGGCACATGGTCCAGAGAAGGGGAAGGTGCCCCTGGGGAATGCTCCATCTATAAAAACGACCTCAAGCCATTTGTTCCTGGGTCCCTTCACAGTTGAGGTTCTCTGCTCCACAGCTCAACTGCTTACTGCGTGGGTCTAGGGTCATAATTTTCGGAAATAACTATTGACCGTGCCAAATGTCTTTTGAGCTTGTGACCTCCCCACGCCCAGATGGCGTAACTCTTCTCCAGGATTCTCACTTTGACCTTATTTCTCTGTGTGTAGAGTAGGATAGAAATGTGTGTGGGGGTGTCTGCTGAAACACGTGTGTCTGCGCACCGTGAGCGTGCATGGTGGCACCTCTGAAGTCTGGCCCATGCCCAGGATTTTTACAGCTGTGAAATATTAGAGGAACTTCTGCCTACAATCAAAGCAGTCACCTTTTCAAAAAGGTCGCAGGCATCCATCCTGTCTTTCAGGGAGAAGAAAAAAAGATTTGAGCGTATCAAGCTGCTCTGACCAGAGTAGGAGAGAGGACTTTGGAAGAGGTGTTCTTTGGCCAATTCAAATAAGTAATGTCAGACCGAAGGAAGAAAAGCACCTTCATTTGGGGCCTCATGCCCAATCAAATTTCCTGGGGCGTGATGCCTGATAATCAGCCTCTGGTCCCAAGCCAGCAAGAAGGTGAGAAGAGGGCTGGAGGGTAGACATGGGCAAGCCCCTCAGGAGTGCATTGTTACCTTCGTTTCTCTTTTCGGAATTCCACAGCGGATCCTGTAAAAAGACTCCTGAGCCCCTTGCTAAGTGTTCTAGCCTTGCTAAGTCTGAGGAGCAGACATAGTGATATTTCTGCTCTTCTAGAGCGCTAGCTTTCACCACGTTTCCCTCCTCATGGTACCCGAGTGACAATTTAAATTTTTCCAGTGCTCCAGAAATCAGGATGATTCATTTCCTAAGGTTTCTGGAAAAGTATTTTACCCAAGCCCTTTATGAACCAAGGTGGTGTTTTTTCTTGAAAGCCTTACCCCCCTGGGGTAGTCTGGCTGATAACTTCAGAGAGAGGTCTGGCATTGGTTTGGGGGTATCACATGACCAGTGACCCACACTCTCTCCAGCTGCCCAGTGCTGCCAAGCGGGGAGTGTCTTCCTGCTTCCTTCTCTGCCCACATCTGAGGCCCAGGGCGATGCAGGCCAGGCCCAGGAGCAGCCTGGCATCTCCTGAGTGACGACACAGTAGTGCACTTCTGTCTTTTCCTCAGAACCTGCTCTTTTTCCTTGGCAGTGAGGTGGGGCCCAACCTCCTCTAGAGTGACTTCATTTCTGCACAGTTAACTGATCTCAGGGGTGTCAGCGAGATGTAGGGGAGGAAGGAACAGATGCTGAGGGAGTAGGGCTGAGAGGACACCCACACCCTCCAGCATGGCCTTTGATCCAGACGTTAGGGACCATGCCTATCACTTGTGGGTGCCTTTTGTTACCGTTTGTGTGTTTGCATAAAGTGAAATGCTGTGACCTTTTTTTTTGTCAATAAAGACATGAAACAAACTTCTGAATCTCAAAGATTTTGGTGTATGTTTTCCAATACAGCAAGCTCCTTGGTTTCCACTGTCACTATTGGTTATTATCATACTGTTCTCAGGAGATGAATTTCACTGCACCTTTTCTAGCAGAGCTGCTTACCAAGTCTTCATTTCTCCTGCTGCTAAAACTGCCTGAGGGCGTGCTGGGCCTTCTTCCTCCTGCTCTCATTTTCCTGAATCCAAGAGGCCTGGAGAGTGCTGAGAAACAGAAGGTGGGACAGATGGGCTACCCACCAGGGAGCTGGAAAGAGACACGGGGAGGAGTATGCGATGGTTTTTAAGGGAAAAAAGTCTTCCTGGAAGAGAGTGACTAGGTTCCCATTTTCTCTGCAAGGAAGAAGGTGAGTAAGAAATGTGAGGTGAGAACCAAGTAACCAACATGCTAAGTATTGATGGCTTCAGGCATCAGGCAGGGTGTGGGATCCTCAAAAGGCGTTAGGTGGTCCCCTCCCAGAGGGTGCTTACAGTGCGGAGACAGCATGTACACACAAAAGTAGTGAACAAGGTATATGATTGTATCAGCCAGGGTCCAACAGACACAGAGACCACTGCAGTTGTCAGTGGTGGAGAAAGGAAAGGGCCTGGGGGACACAGGTGTCACAGATGCAGTGACTGCAGGATGCAGTTATTGCTCCCAGGACAGGAGCAAAGAGAAGAGGTTGGGATTATTAAAATGTAGAGCCTCTGAGGAGGGCCCCTGTGGAGAAGGAGATGGGTGGGAGGGGGAGCTAGTGAGGCTGGTTCTAGGAGTGTAGTAAAACTGCAAATGAACCACCACTACTCCTGGAACCAGCTATCACTGCCAGAGCAAAGCTGTGTCGCTGTGGTTTCTGTGATAGGAAGGAGTACATCCCTCTTCTTCCTCTAGCCTTGCAGTCTCCCTCTCACGTTCCCTACAGGCAAGCCTATCAGAGAGCAAGCTGGTAAAGGAGAATGGGCTTGGCAGCTTCCCAGCCCCAGCAGCACAGGGCAAAGTCTGGAGGGTGGGTTGAGGCTGAGAGCTAACAGTAACCAGCTCTGCCCACGTCTTTGGCTCCTCAGCATCTATATACATGCTGCTCTGCATATTGGAACTTCCAGACAATGGTCAAAACACCTTTATGCCTCCATATAACAAGATGCAACTACTTTTTACACAAACATCATATTGCTCTCTCCCCAACATAAGACAGTGCCGGGGCTGGCCTGGTGGTGCAGCGGTTAAGTGCGCGTGCTCCGCTGCCGTGGCCTGGGGTTTGCAGGTTCGGATACCGGGCGCGCACCGATGCACCGCTTGTTAAGCCATGCTGTGGCGGCGTCCCATATAAAGTAGAAGATGGGCACAGATGTGAGCCCAGGGCCGATCTTCCTCAAGAAGAAAGGGGAGGATTGGCATGGGATGTTAGCTCAGGGCTAGTCCTCCTCACTAAATAAATAAATGGATTAAAAAAACAAAACAAAACATAAGACAGTGCCAACAGTCATTGTTTCCAGGTCTGAGAGACAATCACATCTATTTCTGGGCTATGTTAATTACTCTTCAAATTGCGTTGGTGGGTTAGACAGCACCCAGTTCGTGATAGGCAGCTAGCTCAGGCTGCATGGTCACTTGATGTCCCATGGTTACATGGCAGGAGCTGTTTCTCAAAAGGAGAAGAGTTATCTGCAAAAGAAGGCATGGATCTATTCCAAAACCCTGGATTCCTGCATGGTGATTCTCCAGTCGGGGCTTGCCAGAGGCTCCTTACAGCATCAGCATTTGCAAAAGATCATCTGAGTGTTGCTGAATCTACTCAGTCATAAAGCCCAGGTGGCAGCCCAGAGCTAAGTTTTTAATAATCTTACAACACAGAAAGATGTTCATCAGTAAAGCTTGCCCCTGGAGTGAACTGTTATTCCATTAAGCCAGTTTAATTCCTTGATCAGTTTTCTATACAGTGCAATTAAATTGTTTCTAAATTTTCTATTTTCATTTTTACTTAAAAATACTTTCATTAAGAGAACTACAAGACATTATTGAAAGAAATCCATGATGACATAAAGAAATGGAAAGATATCCCATGCACGTGGATTGGAAGAATAAACATAGTTAAAATGTCTATATTACCTAAAGCAATCTACAGATTCAATGCAATCCCAATCAGAATCCCAATGACATTCTTC